TTGTTTCTATGTCCCCAGGCTTTATCAGTCTGGGCGTTATCGGACATCCCGTCCCTTCCGGGTCTCTTCCCAAGCACTTCTATTTTCCAAAATATGAGCTTCCTCTTTTGGACAACAAAAGAGCTAGGCATGATGGAGCCACAAAAGGATGTATATCCTTGGATCCTATGGTACATTTGGAAAGCGAGAAACGACAAAATTTTCAACGGAAAAGACACTTCCCCGAGAGATACTCTGATCCAGGCAAAGGTGGAAGCGGAAAGCTGGAGGATCGCAAACCAACCCGAAGATGCTGAGGACGCAACTCAAGAGACCCCGTCTCTACCTCTGGCCCTGACATCTTCTCCTGAGGTCTTACGGATCCCGATTTGTAGGATTGATGCCTCCTGGACTGATCATGGACCGGTCAGTGGCCTCGGGTGGAGCTTGGAGGACGGAAGGGGAAGTGAAATTTTTGGACAACATGGATGCCGCAAAAGTCTATCCGCTCTTCACGCAGAGATGGATTGCCTCTTATGGGCTATGTCATGCTTGAAAGAAAGGCAGATTTCTTCAGTCCTCTTTATGACCGATTGTTCGGATCTCGTAAGCATGTCTGAATCCCCTTCCGACTGGCCATCCTTCAGAACTGAATTAGACACCTTCCGTCATCTTCGCGCAAGCTTCTCGGAATTCGATTTATCACATATCTCCAGAAATCAAAATATCCGGGCGGATAGTCTTGCAAAAGGAGCCCGAGCTAAGGGTGTAATTTTTTCCCACATACATCATACCGAACTGGTCGAGAATGGCTCCCGAAGCTTTTCTCCGGCTGGCCACACGTGATGTAATAAATGGGTAGATGACAAAAAAAAAAAAAAATACATAATATCTTTCATGTTGTAGTGGTTAATGTCTCCTCTTAGTTTTATATGCATCTGAGTTTAGCTATTCAAACCTCACTTATGCTTATAATAACTACTTTTTTTATTAACTTTATATTCTAACTAAAATTTGAATGATTTTTATAATTGTTTTTAGAGCTGCTTTCTATTTTACTTTTTCTATGCTATAAGTTTAATTATTTCTTTAGTTTTTAAAAATTTATTGTTTATAGGAAAAAAAATATATAACATTTATGTAAGATATTTTTCAAAAACTTAGAATTTATGTATAGATTTATATATATTTTATATCATTATTGTTACAACATTGTAATATATTTTTAAAATTTGCCTTAGGTCTCTAAACGTCTTCGCACGGCACTGTCTATATGCTTAGGCAGACGAATTCAAATTCAAATTGCATGTTATAGAAAGTATGGTACGTCGCATATTTTAGGCAGACGACTAAAGTCAAATGTTTTGATTTCCATTCAAACGGGTCGACAAAAAGACTAATACTTATGAACGTTTTTGGATATTAATATATTTTAAAGAGCTTTTTAATATCTGAAATTGTTCACCCGATTTATGAGACTAAAAATGTTAACACAAATCCAATTTTAGTTTTCATTGATTAATGCAAATTGCAAATAATATGAAAAATGACAACTAGGCGCATATCTGAGTTTAGGAGTATATTGATTACCTATTATACAATGTTTTCTGGTTTAAGAGTTCACATTAATTAAAGCCAAAGCAACTAACTGATTTGGTTTTTAAATAAACCATGCTTGTCAAGATGTAAATGATTTTAACTTTTTTCAAAGGCCTTTTGAACATGAACACTGACTTTATTTTAAAGGTAATGATTATAGTTTTCTTCCAAAAATTATTTCTTATCATATTATTCTTCATCCTAAAATTGTGACACTTTATGGACCAACAGTTTAAGCATATACTTGGCGAAGGGCATGGTCTCGTGACAATATTATATAATAGATGCAAAAAATGTATGTTTGTTATATAGTATTAAATACCGTGAAAATGATCAGATTATGTCCATCGTCATTAGGAACTAGTATTATTATTGCTGCTTTTGATATGATGTTTCTCACTTTTTTCAGTGTATAAAATATGGATTCATGATATATACTTGATGTTGATGCATTGACAGCATTGTTCATTCTTTTCGTAATTAACTGTAAGTTAGTTAAATCTAGTACCATTTTTTATTTGGAAGATTTTTTTTTTTAAAATTTAAATGGCTGAACATGTTTTGTTTTTAATAAATGGAGCAATCCGTTTTGTTTTTAATAAATACTCTCTTTAAGAAAAAACCAAATTATGTATTACATACCATGGAAAAAAGATTCATCATGTATTGTATCCGCTTTGCTTCTGTATTATCTATTTTTCTGTGATCACGTTTATATGATATAGTTAGAAATTTATTGAGCAAAACAATTAAAACTTTTTTGTTGTCAACAAAAATGAATATATGCTTGAAATTTCAAAATGTCTAACTCATCATATTTATAAGTTTATTAATACATAACTATTTTTTAAATGGCAAAAGAGAAATTTTATAAGCTATTTATTTATTTTTATATAAATTTCCGATTGGAAATATTTGAGCTTGCAATAACCGAGTAAACTTCCTTTTTTAACAAAAAAAGGAAAAAAAATAGAATAATAGCGAGGTTTAGAAATATGATATTGTAAAATCAATCTTTTAGAATGTCTTTTCATCAGGACCTATGTAAAAGAGTTTTCGATAACAGAATAATAGCGAGGTTTGTTCCAAGTTTCAACAAGAAAAAAAACAAAAAAAGAATCATGTATGTAAATCAATCAAGTACTGATAAAATAGAAGTATTATTGGAAAAAAACAAGAAGAGGAGTAAATTCAAAGACAAAATGATTTGAAATTCTTGGAGAAGGCAAAAGAAGAAGACAGCGTGGAGAAAGAGCCCAGAATGTTGAACGTCGTGTGGGCTTCACTCTGCACCACCACCACGGCACCACTCCAAAACCCTAGCTTCATACCCTATCCTATTTTTCTTAGCATTTTTCCAATTTATTGAATATAAATTTATAAATCCTATGAACTAGTAGCTCTTTTCCATTTAAAAATTAAAACACGATTCGGAAAACAAATTCCAATATCAACTGTAATGAGAAATTCACAAATACTTAGAACTCTGATACATGTTTCATTAGTTTTACTTTATCATTTAATTTTTATATAATATGCTATCCGTTTTAAATCAAATGTTGTTCTAACTCCTAATTTTTTTTACAATATAAGAAAAATAATTAAATATATTTATTACTATATCGTTTTCAAGTAAATCTCTGCAATTTTTCTTAAAAATTCTGCTTTAGAAACATAATGCCACATTTTTGGGAAACAAAACATTAGTTTAACACATAGAAAATATGTATATATCATCAATCTAATAAAATCAAGATATATTCAGATCACAATATAAGATATTCATAGGATATGTACGAGTAGGTTAAAAAAAAAAGAGAATCTCTTCGGTGCACTTAAGACAAATCTATAACTTAGAAAATCTTCATTAGATTAGATTGAAGAGGGAAAGAAAAAAAGAAAGTAAGTGGGTTTGGCTATAAGAAACGAGTGGGATTATTAATGATTAAAAGTAAAAGTCTTTTTGGTCTCTGGTCGGTCGACAATCCGTGTGTCCTGTGGTCAGTGTTTGTTTTTTTTTTTAGTTTAGTTTTCGAGTTTCCATATATTATTATGTTTTCCACTGAAACACAAAACATTAAGCAGCCAAATGAAATTCTTTTAACGCGTTGTTTCAGAACCTGATGAAAACTTTTTTGTTAAAGAATCTGATGAAAACAATAATCATGTCCTCTTCTTCGTCCTTTTTCATTTAATTATATGGATTATATAAATCCTCTTTAATCTTCTCTCTATTGTAATCGCTGCATCACATAAAAACCTCTAAAACTATATTTACATGTGTGATGTGTATGAACTCTTAAGTCTAAGGGTCCTTATGAAGATCCGAGAGATGGACGAGAAAAAAGCATGGGAGAAGAAGAGAAATATAAATACAATATAATTTTTTGAGAATTATAAATACTAGGATTAGTATTCTTGACAGATCATAAATTCATAATAGTCAGATAGATTATACACATTGTATATGTACGGAATAACTCTAATTCGACTGTTACATAATTTGATATGGTTTGCATAGCAGTGACGTTGTTTTCCCTCGTATAAATAGGGTAATTTTTTTTTTATATATCCTAAACATGATTATAGTAAGTGGAAAAAGAAGCCAAATTACTGTGAAACAGAGGGCTTAGAAAAGTAGATACATTTGCTAACATTAAAACATTATTTTAAAAACATAGTAATTAATAGTTTTTCGGATAAAATAAATAATTCATAATTGTTCATAAGGAGCCAAATCCATCAGAGAAATCCACAAGATGATGACAGCTCCCCATTTAGAAGTCGTAAAAGAAAAGTAAAGAAGATGTGCAGCACTTGCAGATTCATTTGATTTGTTAAATATTCATAATACACATACCATAAGGAAAAAAATAGTGGTCCCAAAATGAAAAGTATCAAACAAAAAATCTATAACATCTAAATCAAAGAAAATGAAACATTGGTAAAATTTAAGACAAACTCATATTGGTTTCCTTAAAAAAAAAAAAAAAAACAGATTGGTTTTAACTACAAAATTTGGGAAATGATGGATTTTGTTTTCATTAATCTTATGAAATTATTGAACCTAAATCGGGGTTGCCATTTTTTGTGACTATTAAAAATTTTAGAATCACAAAGTCATTATCATAATTTATCAACAATATTTCTCAATAACAAAAAATATTATGAATGTATATATACATTTTTTTGGCATCACTCCTCAATGTGTATTTATCAAAGATAATGGCGGTCTGATTGTACAAACCGGTTAATTTTTTTTATTATCATAATATGAATTATTCATTCGGAAAGTAATCCTTGATATTAAATAATTTTTCTCTAAAAAATACCAAGAGACACATAATATAGCACTATATATATGTGTATCCAATATCATATGGGATGTTTGTGACCTTTTTGTTTTTGTCTCTTCTTCTACAATTCTCTTTCTTCCTTCCTTCTTCCAAAGACAGAAAAAAACCAAAAATGTATGCAATGAAAGAAGAAGACTGTCTACAAACGTTTCACAACTTACAAGACTATCAAGACCAGTTTCTTCTTCACCACCATCCACAAATCCTCCCCTGGTCATCTTTACCTTCGTTTGATCCGACCCATTTCCAATCTAACCAGACCCGTTACTCTGACCCGGTACACTATTTCAACAGAAGAGCTTCGTCTTCCTCTTCTTCCTTTGACTATGCAACGGATGGTTTCGTCTCTCCTCCTCCATCTATGGATCATCATCAGAACCATCTAAGGATCTTATCCGAAGCACTTGGACCCATCATGCGTCGTGGCTCGTCCTTCGGGTTTGATGGTGAGATTATGGGGAAAATGAGCGCACAAGAGGTAATTGATGCTAAGGCTTTGGCTGCTTCAAAGAGTCACAGTGAAGCTGAGAGGAGAAGACGAGAGAGAATCAACACTCATCTTGCTAAGTTGCGTAGTATTTTACCAAATACAACCAAAGTAAGTTGTTATAAATTATCACTCTTTCCCTTTCCATATCGTTAAATGATTTAAGATTTAGCTTTTATTAATGTTCTGTGAAAATTTATCTTAAATTATGCAACCCTTACCATTGTTTAGTAGTATAGTAGTCATTGTTCATTTTTCAAAAATAATGAGTGCGTCAAGTTTGGTGTGTCGCTATAGATATGAATGTGGATTTTCAAAGTAAATATTTTTCATTTATACTTTTAAAAATATATGCAAATAAGTTAATGATATTTCAAAAACTATATTTTTCAGTTACTATTGTTTATGATAGTAGTAATTTTCGAACGCTATATTTTGTATGGTATATAGCTCAAAGATGTGGTATTTCTGTAATTATTATGAAGTATTATTCGTCTTGTGGTTGTATAGACGGACAAAGCTTCGTTGCTAGCGGAAGTGATACAACACATGAAGGAGTTAAAACGACAGACATCACTGATCACCGACACGTGTCAAGTCCCAACAGAGTCCAATGATCTGACCGTCGATTCGTCTTACAACGATGAAGAAGGGAACTTGGTGATAAGAGCAACCTTTTGCTGCGATGACAGGACTGACCTCATGCATGACGTCATCAATGCCTTAAAGTCTCTTCGTCTCCGAACTCTAAAAGCCGAGATCGCAACCGTAGGTGGTCGAGTCAAGAACGTCTTGTTCTTGAGCCGAGAAATCGAAGAAGAAGATGATGGATATTGTAGAAACTTCGATGGAGATGACGTGGAGAACTATGATGAAGAGAACAGGTTTAATCGTGTGACTTCGATAGAAGAAGCGTTAAAGGCGGTTATAGAGAAGTGTGCCAATAATAATGATGAAAATAATGAGAACAATAATAACTTGGAGAAATCATCTTCAGGGAGTATTAAGAGGCAGAGGACTAGTAAGATGGTAAATCGATGCTATAATTAGTTCTACCTGATTGATTAAGTCATCAAGTCTTTAAGTAATTAGGTCTACTTAATTAGACTTGCAAAAAAATGGGATTATGGGTTGGTGGTATTAATATTTAGTATCATTTGAGTTTTCTCTCTACTTTTTAATTTGGTTTGGGTTTCTTCTTCTATGTTTTTAATCTACGAAGGACCCTTTGTTTAGGGTTTTATAGCGATGGGCTTTGGTTTATATAGTGTACTATAATTAAGACATTTTATCGTCTTAATTTATATAGGAAATGTAAAGAGCTTTGGGTTTCTATTAATGGAGGTGTGGAATCAAGAAAGTTTTTTTTTTTTATTATGACCAATATTAAGTTCATTATATCTTCTTCTATGCAACTAAACACTATATAGAAGTACTTCTCTAACTTTCAATTACTTATGACGAAAACACAAAACAGTTGTAATGTCGAAATCACATTTTAAGTGTGCATGGGAAAATTTCGCCTCCATATATTTTTAATTTTAGTTTATAGTGGACGTTGTACGCATTGATCATAGTCGTTACATTATTTATTTTCATATATACATATACCGATATATATATATATACAATATAAGAATGTTATATTTTTCCAAAATTAGGCTGATGTAGAGAGTTATTTAATGGGAAATGTAACACTTATAACAAATGAAATCGAGAGGAGTAGATCGAATCTTTTTCGTGGGAAGAGAAAACTTAAATCTTTGTTCTATTTATAGAAACTCTTGTGGCTTCAGTTTCGGGATCTTTGCAATGCTGTCTCTTTCGCCGTTACTGTCTCCTCTCTTCGTCTTACGTTATATTTATTAGTATTATTACAGATACAGTTGCTACCACAAGCACATTACATCATATTCTCGTCACTTTGTATCTATAGGTTTCTTTCTTTTTTGTTTAGTTCCGTTTTTTTTTTTCGCTCAATCTCAACATATGACCAAACAAAAAGGCTTTCTTTTTACTTTTATTACATGAATCAAATTACACATTACTTATTAAAATATGATTTTTTTGTTTTTGTAAAATATGAACTTTTTTGTTGGTAAGTTTTAATTGTTGTTCACTGAGACCGGGGTTTCACAATTTTGACTTTTCTCAACTCTCACTCAACTAAGGAAATGAAAAATATTTGACAATAATCTATTAATTCAATACGTTTCATAGAAAGAAAAAAAAATATTAATTCAATAACAAAAAAATTCAAAAATTAGTCAGCTAGGTGGTTTATGTCTCGAGATTTTAATTATTCGGACCTGAAGAAGATGCAACACTTTCAGAATGGCCGCTGTTATCCTTTGAGATTATTTTATTATGTCTAAGCTTTATCTTATTTCTCAGTGCTGTTTATAGTTTGGCCGTATGTTTAGCTCGAAATGTTTGATTTTATGGGATAAATATTTGGTATGTTGTAGATTTATGTACTCGAAACTGACTCTATTGCTTTGACCCAAAAATAAAACTGACTCAAATGGTTTGAAACTTTAAATATCAATTTTACGATTACGAATACTTAAGGACAAACGGTGAGGAGTTTTTATGGGCCTATGTAACCCAACTTGTAGGCCTACGTTTGACCCAAAAGATCGTAATGTTTCGTGATATGCTTTCCTTTTATGAAAAAGCTTCAGCCGGTGGGGAATGCGGATTGACAAAAGGCCCAAAAAAATGTAAAAACAATGGCCTATACAGGTTTCGAACCTGTGACCTTCGCGTTATTAGCACGACGCTCTAACCAACTGAGCTAATAGGCCATCTGAACACTTTACTTCATTCAAAAGATTTATCTTTTAAAAACGCGACCTTATTAGGCTTACAAATAGAAGATAATAAAAGTGAGTAAGTGACGAATTTGTCCTATTAAAAGTTCACACGGAACAAAAAAAACTTCCTTATGCATTGTATCTGCATATGTAAAGCTATAAAAAGAAAGAAAATCATGTGCAAAGATAATTGAAAGAACACAAATGCACCTCGAGAGAAGTCCATAATGTTGAAGTACAAGGAAGTCCATATGTGGACCAATAATGTCGAACCATTTTCTTAAATAATATCTCAAACAATGCAAAGAGAAAAGCATTTACATACAGACCAATATACTTTATCTAGCTAGTTGGATTTTGTGATTAGTTTGAAACACCATAGGAATTGTATGTTCATTATTCGCAACAATGAACTTGGTTCAAAACTTTAAACATCAATGTGAAACAAAGATACGTTGGCTCCATTTGATATTATTGTGAAATGGTAGAATGATAACAAGGGACTAAAAAGGACTACGAAAATAACTTAACTATGAACTATGAAAATTGAAAAAGGACTAAGAAATAACACCTAAATTTTTTGAATAAATAACATGACAAATAACAAGGACCAAAAAAAAAATTATGAAAAATGAAATGGCCGAATCATGAAACAAATCTGAACTTGATTAGAATGGAAATTATGGAGGTTTCTATATATTGAAGGATTAGAATGAATTATGTTTAAAAAGCTTCCATAAAAGAAAATTACTTTTATCGTTAAGAAAAAATAAGATATACACAAATTACTTATGAAAATTTTCCATACTGCAATAATGATTATTTGTTTTCAAGAATCAAGATATTGAATTCTTCAAAACAAATCTTGAAATGGAAATACAAAATAGTTGACACTTATGTAGGAATGTTTAGCTTAACTGGGTGCTGAAAGTAAAGCACTAAATTGGAAATTTCATAAAGTGAACAACAATAATAAATCTGGACCCCGGTGTGAGAAAGTGACAAGAGAAGAGCTCGATGGTTCTGGCCACGACGGCTACGGTGGTAGGACCGCCGTGTTGGCCCGCCGCACGTGGTCGAGCTTATCCTCTTGTCTTTTTGACCGTTCAACGTCTTTTGTCTCTTCCTCAGTAGCTTCGTGTGTCAAGATTTTCTTACTGCACATAGATTTTTTTCTGACTGCACAGAGATATTATAAAATCATCTAACGATCAATAGATGAATGCAGAATAACCACAAGAGACCCGAATTCACATTCTAGTGACTGCAGTAAAAAAAAAAAAGGAGAAAAAAAAATATAGTGGATAATTGCAGTATAACATACATCATCAGGATGAAAAACAGGGTTTATTGAATCCGAGTTTTGTAGTTATGAAACTCTTCAACTCATCAAACAATAATGTATAAAAATCATACAAAAAAATGTATAGAAACATGACAAAATAAATAAATACATAGGTGTGGATGAGTACATAAACATATGGGCTGCATAGTTAAAGTTGGCCGACAACAGAATATCAATGAGACAATGATGCAGATTCAGTTTCTTCCCACCTGACACTTTGACCCCATTTTCATACTTTCTTTTGTCAGCAATCTATATTTTTTTTTTTGTTATAACGTCGAATAATAATAGAGTGTGTTATAATGACAATTTTTTGTGGTTGGACTGGTTGAAACGGTCCTTGTAAATGATTCACTACCCAATCGCAACTCTAATTCAAAACCCTTAATTACTTCAATTAAATTGAGATGAAGATTGGCAAAGACGCTTGAACATTGATTGGTTGTAATCGGTTTTAGTCTTCACTCTTCATACGATATTGACGCATTTAAAAGAAAAAAGAAAATTCACTTTATATTCGAATAGAATAAATTCGACTTACATCATACATGTCTTCTTCCATCATAAATCATTTAACACCTAATGGTCACGTCAGATTAAATAAGAGGGACCCGAACCTTTATTTTAATGGTATGTGACTTGTGTTCTGTCCCTTGATCTACATCTACAGTCATTAAAAGTTGATTAGTTTAATTTGATAATTCAATAGAAACTAAACAAACACGCATCATGATAATTAAAGTTTCAAGTTAAGTCATATAATATGTTGAATTATTTTTATGTGAGGCCAAACAACTAAATTAAAGTAGAGTTATCTCATACGTGGAGCACCAACATTACATTACATATGATTAGACAAGTAACCAAAGAATATTTAATTCAAAACTTTAATTTATCTACAAATCAATTGGCTAATCATTGGAACTAAGAAGAGGTTGTTAGTTTGACTAAAATTAGGACAACGGAAGCATACATAAGAAAGCATGTCTTATGCAAACTTGTAGCTCTCATATAATGATTTCATATATATATATATAAACTTTTTGATAACTGAGTTTTATTAACGGAAACTTATTAACATCGGCGATGTAAATTCTATAAATTCATGTAATTAATAAGACGACTGATCATTTTCTTCCATGCACAAAAAAAAAATATAGTTGGTTTATTGCTATCAAATAAAATATATGGTTGGTTGAAAATTTGACATCGTGCTCTATTTGTTGGACTATTTACCGTATAGCTACACCGACTACTTAACATTTAAAATTGTTTCAGTTTAACTTCGACGGTTAGCTTTTGTTTCAGTTAATGCGATTTTCACATAATAGAGAGAAAAAAATCTAAAATAAACCAGATACACTGATCGATCATAAGCTCATAAAACTATGAAAGCACGGAGATAAGGAAATAAGAAATAAGAACTGATCTTGGTTAGATTATGTGTGGGATAGCTGAATTTTTTACACCGGGAGCTAGAACTAAGGCAAAAGCCATTACAAAATTGATCCCAAAGTTTTATTGTCGATATATACAAATTTACCCCCACCAACTAAAAACATATAACCCATATCAAAACTGATTACATTTCATCCCCCAAGATCGACGGCGATTGGCAAGCAAACTAAACCATTTTTCTCCTCCATATCTCCTTCCAATCATATCAGTTTGATCCGGTTCAGCTTCAAAGTATCACCAATCGAATCAACCAAGATCAATCTTGCCAACATAGGAGCATCACAACACATCGTTTGATGATGTAAAGCTTAGCTCTTTGCTCTCTAAGAACACCACCAAGTCCTCTACTACTCGACACTCTTCTCTTCAAAACTCCCATCTTCGATGTTCTAGGGTATTTCTTTGATCGTTTTAGAGGTTTTTTTTTTTCTTTGGTAAAAGGGTTTTAGAGGTTTTAGTATTGAATATAAGAGAAAATATTATGAACAAAGAAAGGTCTTATATAGAAAATGAAGAAGACTAGGAAGAAGAAGAAGAAGAGAGTTGTGTAGGGACAACAAGTCGAAGTCGCGCGTGGAAGTGCACCCCAACCCACCCGACACTGTCTTTCACCATCCACTTGTGTTAAGTGTCACATCATTTTCAATCTTCAGAGATAGATGAGTATAATTTTTAGTAGTGATTTGTATCGATGTTGCCGTTGTACCATTATTAGAATTTAAATCGGATAAAATGTATGTATGTGTTGTAAACAATTTTATGTCGATGTTAAGATATCAAATTTTTATTAGTTGTACACTTGTACTTGTTCACAAGCCAGTATAATTCTTCGATTCTTTTATTTTTCAATCGTACTATTAATCAGGATTCAATTATGTTATGACTTATGATATTATACAATTTTAATTCTTTCATTTCACATGATTTAGTGATTAATATACGGTTTCCGATAAAATTATATTAAAAATTATCATCTCGTGATTTTTTTGGATTCTTCCCTTTCCTTATAATCATTCGGCATACATACCTACGTTAGGGTTAAACATATTTTTTGGGGGAAGAATTTTAGAGTTAAACATGAATTTGTTATTGATTGTGAAATTTTCAATAAGCTATCGTTTTATACTTTTATTTTATTTTATATGGTCACAAACCCCGAACATGTATGCCCCTCTTTGCTCCCTCTTTTATTATCCACCAAATATTTTTGACATCTTTATTTTCAATAATTTGAAATAATACAAAAGTTTTCGTCGACGAGAAAAAGCAAAAATTTAAAGCAAAAAATAATAATTGAAACTCTTAAAACTAATAATCTCGTATGTCCTTTTGTGTCCAAACGTAGCTGAATTATAAAAAATCTTGAAATTTGGAACACAATTTTAAGATTGGATTTAATCTGGACAAACTGGATCAAAATATTAGCAGTCAAACTGAAACTGTGATTTCGAAAGGGCTGATATTTGACTGATAATATGTCTGGAATTTTGATGTGGGATGTCTCTTATTTATCAATTGGACATGTTTGAATCATGATCTTATATAATGTGATAATATGTATAATTCAATTTATTTGAAAAAAAAATTAAATTCAACTATTTGGGACCTTTGCGCCTGCGGACAGTATAAAATAATTGAGTTTATTTGTGTGTGTTGGATCCACGTCAGTAATAAACTTTCCAGTCGAGTTGAAATCATGTGGTGCATTGACAACGGAGCGGAGCAATGACTATTTTGTAAGCTGCATGACATGGTCACATGGTTCTTATACACTAGCTAAAACAAAAGGTGGGTGTCTATAAACTATAATTAAAACATTCAGAACCAATGAAGTAAGTGTAATCTGCCAACTACCAAGGATTGGGCTAGTTCAGTGGCAGATTTTTTTGTTTTCGTCTAAGTAATTTTATAATTATAAAATACGAAAAAGAAATACATGGATGAAATACAAGTTTGATATCCAAAATCGGCGTTAAACACAAACCAAAAAACTAAAGCCGATACAAAAAAAAATTCTTCAAAAACTAAGCCGACAGAAATTTTTTTTCGAAAATTAAACTTAAACATTCCAAAGAAACATAGCCTACAACAAAAATCTTCACCCAAGACTACAACCGAGAACCATTGCAATTTAACCACAACAAGATTAAGGAGATAACTAATTGAGATCGTAAAGCAAAAACTAAAACTTGTTTTTATTAGGAGCAAAAACTAAATAATAGGCATAATATAATATATTAACAAGAAGCATTATTAGAAATCTTGAAACAATTACACTAAAATTGAAATTGATTAACCAATAACCAAACAAAAGTAAGTTTAATCAGTTAGTCAAATATGTGAAACATCAATATCGACTTGACTTTATTAAAAAAAAGTGTTATCTTTGATAAGTGGTAATTTGATAGTTAAATTGCAATATACCAAAAAATTATATTAAATCGTTCTAGAATAACTATGAGTTTGCTTATATGTCACAATTTTATATATTGATGATGTGGATCGTGAGCAGAGAGACTATTTTATTATGAGTTTGCTTTAATGATATATTGGTTGAGTGACTTATGAGCATTCATTGTTATATCGCCAGCCTACCTCTCTTAGTTTTTTTGGCCCAAACTCAACTAATAAAATACGGCTAAATAGAGTTTGGTGTGTAGTAGACTTTATTTTAATCAAACTTACGATAAGATGACAATACTATCACTAATTACAAATCCCGGTCCAATATCTGTGGTACATCTTGTACACGTTTTTATAAATAATAAGTTCCAGATATATCAAGTTTCAAAAGCGCTTTGCGTTTTTGGGCTTGAAGATACGAAGTAATATCTGGCCCATTGACATTAACAAGTAGCTTAGCGCATTTACTTGGACATATCACACAAAGACACATGCAAAAAGTATCTGTATTTTTTTTTTTTGGTAAAAATAGTATATGTTAGTTTAACTCTGTTTAACGGAAGTGCCAAGTAGTTTAGTTTGGAAAAATAATGATGATATTTTACAAAATGCGTCTCCTAGAAGTGTTGATTTGTTCCAACGGAAACTGTTTGTCAAATGTTTTAACGGTTCAAACAGAATTGAATCTTTTAGATTCTAGATTTGGGATTAAATATTATGCAGGTCGCATTTCTGGTCAATTCTTGATTTATTTTTCTTAATTATTTCTTATGGACGTATAAATACAAAATATCGTTACTATTTTATTCTTCCATTTTTTTCCCACATTCTGCACCAGCTCTTATGAGTTGACTATTCTAAGATTCGAAGAGTAGTAGTTTACGACTGTAAGAGTGTCCTGTTGATTAATAGATAAAATTATACTTAGAGATCGTGTAACAAATACGATGGTTGCTGTAATATTACATATTGAGGCAGGCTTGTGATGCTATAAGTTATAGTTATACTCATTTATGCATGGTGATCATTAATTTCATTATGATGCGATGATTTAATTTCAAATTTCTTTGTAATATCGAGTCTGAAACTCTGAATCCTCTATTGTATCAAAAGCATAACGATCTAAAAATATCCATATAATCTAAAGGTTTTTATAATTAATTGTCATTTCTCATTTTTCACTTCACCGCGAGTTGTAGTATAGCAAACAATACGTTTTGAGCTTCGAAAAAGTCAGTAGCGTAACACCTTGTGATGCCTTAAGAAGGTAAAACATGTCCGTCCATTTGTACGGAGTGTCGTACATAGTGAAATATTTGGTAAATATGTGCCTACTATACGTAGAGCTCGTTGACTTAGTTGACTTTGAACTTTCCCTATCTCTTGTGGTGACATCACCGCGTTCGTCATTATTTATCAATAAAACTATAAATAAATAAGAGCGTAGCTACAATAATTTATGATTATTATTATGAGTTCTGACATATATGTGTAGTGGGAGCACGGGAAGCTCGTTTACAACAGAAAAAAATCCTTATAAAATTTCCAGAGTAATTATATGCATATGCAAGTTGCTAAGTTAAATCAAATTCCCATATAAAAAAGGTTGCTATAGCAAGTTTGATGTATTTTCATGGGTGTCGTGTCGGCATCGTGAATCTGCTTATAACAAATAGTCAAATATTAAGGAAACTATATTTCAATTTTACTAATATAAAATATTTAATTTTTTGGCAGCAGTCCTTATTTTTGTAGTGCGACTAATATAGAGATATATATATATATATATATATATATTTAATTGGATATTTTTGAAATTTCTTTTCAGAATTACTGAATTAGAAAGATTTTCTGCATGTACGAATGCCCTTTGACAAAAAAAAAAGATTTTCTGCATGAAAATAATATTTTTCATTCATTTGTTTCTATTAAATTTGACTTTTTAATGTTGAAACAAACTTGTAGTGTTATATACGGTAATCACTTTGTCTTAAAAAGTAACATTTAGAAAATTTTCACACGTGTAAGTATTATACAAAATATGAAACGCATTTATAGACCAAAAACTGAGTAAATTAAATCATTGTGTGAATTTACACTTTAAAACTTTTGGAAGTTTAAGAATTTAAATCTGACAATAATGTGCCTATCAGCTTCTCAAGCAATGGCAAAAGATATGAATGGGGTTGGTCCCAGGCCACGGTCTCGACCAATTATCGTTCTCTTATCTTTAAAAATTAGTCAACAAATGAGAAACTAACTAGAACGAGTTCTTAAAAAAAAAAAAGCTGAATTAGTCATTATTAAGTTGATTAAGTTGTTCTTTAATTACTGTTTTTTTAATGGCTTACTTTGATTTGATTTGATTTATGACTTGGATAGGGGTGTTAACTATATCTGGTCCACAACAAGTGGCCCGTGTTTTGATACCTTTCCACTTATATAAATCAGGTAGAATCTTGCAAAATCCGCGACTTGATGTTTTTAAATATTACGTAATTATTTGATGCTGAATTCGACAAAATAGCATAGTTAGGCAACTTTTAGGTTTCTCTCGTATTACTTAATTTTTTGATCTACATGCTTTTATGTCTACTGATACTTTGCTTTTTCTAAACCTTATCTGGTTTCAGAATAATATATAATTATATATTTTTCACATAGATTAAAAAAAGATTCAATTGGATTTAATCAAAATTAAATAAATAACTATAGTTAATTTAAACATAATTCAAACAATAATAATACATAGTTAAAAATTTAATTTTATACAATAACGAAAAACACCATATTTCAACTTAAAAATTATAAAATACATTATTATAAAATAGAAGAAATATATTCTCTTACTTAATATAATTTTCTATATTTTCTTACATAAAAAAATCTCTCAAATACTAAGTGGTTTAGCCACATGTAGTAAGTTAGGATCATTCGCACCCAACAAATTTTAAAAAATTAGTGTAATTTATGAAAATCTAATATCAATGTTCTCACTTATAAAATCGTATATACCTTTATTTGCTCTTAATGAAAAAAAATTCAGGCT